TTTACTTAATTGCAAGTTTTTCAATTCCTTCGTCCATATGTTGTTTGTGTTAATAGTTATTATTCTTGAATTACATATATATATTATATTGTTCCATCATTTACGCCTTTCTTCATTACAGCCCATATTTATTTGCGCTGTGTCTAAAGCCCCGACAGAGCAAGGCTGTTTTTCTCACTTTCCGCTGCTCCTGGTTCTCACTCTTCACAGTATGTGCAGCTGATGGATTTATTAATTGCTTGAAGTCTCCCACTGATGCTAAATCACTTAGCAATTGATCTGCCACACCTTGTTGATTAATGCAGCAGAGGTAGATTTGCCACTTTGCTTTCGCTGTTCCTTCAAACAATTCATTCAACAATATACAAAAGCACGTACGCTATATGCATTTGAACTATGTGTTGATTTTTGCAGGCAATTTATATGAGGAAACGTGAAAAAAAAAACACAAGCCTTTCTTTTGCTGAGTCCTCACTTGTGGTGATTAACGTAAAGAGTTCACTTGAGCTTCAGTATTGGAAAAAAAGGAGGGGGAGATTACCGTTTATGTCTGAATACCACATATTCTTACCCAAAATATGTTGTAAGATCATGCTACATGGAACTAAAGTTGTCTTTATATAATTGCTGGCCAAATCTCTGGTTTTTAGTGTTCATGGTTTGCCAGAATTAGCAAATTTTTCCCATCTTAAGTGAGGTAAAGGCATGCGCTTTAGAGAAATGTGCGATTCAAAGAATGACTAGCAAAAGTGGTTGAAACAAAAGGTGCTCGATTTCTCTTAATTTTGACTAAAAGGATTCAGATCAAGATGTGCACTATTACCATTGTAGATTGGTTGCAAGATTTAGTTATCTTACTTGCAAATGAATATCATATCATAGTACTTAAACTGAGTCTCAAAGAGGAGTATGATCATCTCCATCTTCATTCAAGTCGGGCGGCGGCCTTGTGGAAATTATGGACCTGCTTATCTTTTCCTCTTGTGGTGGAGGAGGCAATACGTTTTTTTGATCATATGTATCGGCCTGAACGTGGAAGATGCACAAGAGGATGCTAAGAATTGGTAGCCAGCTATCTTCAGGAGATAAAGAGAGATTGGATCTTACATATGGAGCCAAATACACAAGAGTAAAAATAGCATAACGCAGTTTCCCAGTATCCAACCACGCGAAAACCCAACTCAACCAATTAAAATACGGAATTAAGCTGATAATTGCCATCACAGTAAACCTCGCATCACCAGAATCAATCACGGACTCACCGTCATCGTCATCCGGCTCCGAGTAAGTAGTCGGACTCGGGAAAACCAACGAGCTGAGAACGCAGACACCGATAGCCACCGCAATAGTAGCGTCGTTATTTGCAAACTCTGCCCTGCACTTGCAATTACTTCCATTTCTCAGATTTAGCTTTTTGCGGAGGCGAGGTTGGAGAATTGGTAAAACAGAGGATCCTAAGGATTTTGGAGGAGTCGGAATAAGTACTGCTGAAGTGAAACTGAGAGAAATCATCGCCGGAGATGGAGGACGGCGACGGCAGCATTTAACCAGTGTTTGGTGATAACAAAAGTAAGAAATCATTCCCCTTTTTTTAAAGAAAAAATTAAAGTTTGCTCCCAATATCCATCTGATATACGATGTTGTGTGTGGTGGGAGATCAGTTGACAGATTGTGTTGATTTGGCATCTTATATATGGAGGAATTGCAAAATAAAAAACGGCAAAGGGCCACATATACCCCTGTACTTTCGAAAATGGTCTAAGATTACCCTTCGTTATATCGTTATATTATTGGGTTATATATGCTCCTGCCGTCATACTTTGGAACGAAATACCCTTATTTTGGATGGAGTGCCACGTGTCAGCACCAAATTATAATGACCCATTTCTTTTTTTACCGGATCCGTTTAAAAGAACCCACCATCCAACCCAAATTTCACCCCTATGTAAAATACAACCTAACGTAAAAAAGAACCCCATTTTGCTTTACCCCTCCGTTGAAACAGAAAGAAGCGAAAAATTAGAAGAGAAATTTATGAAGTTGAACCCCATTCTACAGCTCTGAATTGTTATTCCCTTTGATTATCATCTAATTTATTCACATCGCTGGAGAACTTATTCTATTGAAGTTTAATCATTTAATTCCTTCATTGTCTTTCCTTTCTTCTTTTCTGTTTTGTTTTTGTAACATCTTTTCTTAACTTTGGCTTCATAAAGCAATATAACGTTTAAGGGCAAATTATTTGGTACTTTAATCTATTTTGAGTTTTCGGAAGTGGCGGAGGAGGGGGAAGATTATCGCAATAGACTAGTTGTCTCTGTCAACACTCAGTGTAACACTCATTATACGAAAGAAATTCAACATATAAAAAAAGTTATTATCGTCGCATATCAGAAGGTACAATTGCTGAAAGTAACATCATTTTGAATAACTTCAGATTTTGGGTTCAGAGTTTGAAGGAATCTGAGAGAAGATAAAGCTAATCCCTTAATTTGAAATTTGGATCGGGTGTGGGTTTCTTTTAAACGGGTTGGGAAAAAAATAAACGGGTCATTTTAATCTGGTGCTGCCACGCGGCACTCCATCCAAAATAAGGGTATTTTTATTCCAAAGTATGACGGCAGAAGCATATATAACCTAATAGTATAATGAGGGGTATTCTTAGACCATTTTCGAAAGTATATGGGTATATTTGGCCCTTTGCCGAATAAAAAAATACTAGTAAGAAGTTATTAACATTTAGGATGTGTTTGGTATGAAGGAAAATATTTTCCAATTTTCCCATGTTTGGTTGGCTTAAATGTTTTGGAAAACATTTTCCTTTTCAACTCATTTTCCTCCAATTTATCAAGAGAAAGGAAAACATTTCCGAAAACTCTTTCTCAACCTTCCCTACCCTCACCAACCCACCCCGCCCCCTCACTCCAAAAAATTTTTTTTTTTTTTTTTTTTTTTTTTTTTTCAAATTTCAGTTTTTACGTTACCACCCACCCTACTACCTCTCTACCCCACCCCACCCCACCCCTACCCCTCCCGCCAAAAAAATTATTATTTTTTTATTGCAATTTCAAATTTCTATTTTTTCGTTTTCTGTAACCCCCCCCCCTCCCCCGAAAAAATATTTTTTAATATATTTTTCAGTTTTAGTTTTTTTATATACCGGTTTAAAGGTTCAAAATTTTACAAGTTCCAAATTTATGAGTTCGGAGGTTTATGTGTTTGGAGGTTTACGGGTTTAGAAATTATAAAGTTTACGGATTAGAAATTCCGCGGCTTCAAAAGTTTATGAAAAATGTGGGTTCGGAAGGTTGTTGGTTTGAAAGTTTATGACTTCATTTTTATTATATCTAAATTATTTATGAATACTCTTGAGAAGTCATTTTCCTTAATTTGCGTACCAAACACCGGAAAATAAATAAGATTACTACTTATTTTTCAAAAAAATATTTTCTTGAAAAATATTTTCCGTTATACCAAACACACCCTTATTGAAGTAAATTTTGCTCCAAAAATATCCAACTTATTCTTTTCAAAGAACGAAGACTCTATGTTTCTTTATATGGATGTTCCAATAGTTGTGTCTTCTTTTGGTTGTAAACTTGTAGGAGTAATTATTATTGTTTTGTAAATATAGAAAAGCTCTAAAGTACAATACAGTACATGCTATACAATTTTACTACTTCCGTTCCTATTTAATTACCTATAAAGTTTTGAACAACCTTTAAGAAAAAAATAATTAGGTATTGAATTTGACTAATCTACGCATTATTAATTCTTTAATTAATCTTTTTAGGTGCATATTAACTCTAGCATAATTAATGCTAAGAATAAAATTAGTAAAAAATAATTAATTCTCTCTTGATCTTTTAAATTGATAAGTATTTGAGAATAACTATTTTTAGTATACATGAAAATTAAATGAGAACTGAGACGCTTGCGTTTTCCGGGAGCTTTTTTTTGACTATTTATCTTCATCAAAGCCAAAAACGAAGGGCAAAAGCTCCAAACTAAACCTAAGTAGTTGAGATTTCTTCCAGATGAAGTCCATCTTTAATTATCACAAACAAATTCGTTCTAGATTGTATCAACAATAATAAATAATTATAGAGACTTACCTTATATTTCTTCCAGATATACCTACCTCTCAACCCACCTCTCCTTCCATGGATTTCGATTTAAAATTTGGTTTGACATCCGGTTTGGGTTTTTGAATCAGTAAATTTTGATTCTTTCATTGCTAAATAAGGAATAAAATTATGTTATATTTGCTTGCCATAGTTAAGAAGTCAAATGCGAAATAATCCTTTTGTCTGGGAAAAAAAGAAAGAGGGAAAGAGGGTTGGTTCTTAGACAAGCTCAGGACAAACCAGGATTAGGGTAGAGTAGATAGATTAATAACATTGCATTTATAAGAAATTTTAAGGGCTAGCATTATCTAGCTAGATAATTGAGAATTCTGTGGTAGCATTATCTATCTTGTGGATTTCCTCTTTCTAGTCCCAGTTTGAGTTATACCCTGTCGTAGTCTGCATGTTAGAAAACCTTTTTTTTGGGGTTTGGGGGAGAAAGAAATGTTAGAAAACCTTAATTAAAAGCAATTTGCTTCCTTTGATTTTTAGTTAATTAATTGCAACTTTTGAACTATGGAATAGAGGTAAATTCAACAGATATGGAGAATATAAAACACGGATAATACGAAATAAGTATGGTTCTGTCTACGGAAATTAACACACGTGTGGCCATACAAGAAATTCAAAAATAAATGGGGCTAAAAGTAATAACATGAGTAAGTTTTCTATCTTGACTATGCTAATGTTAGATCCAAATTATCCATAGAAGAATTAGCGATGAAAACCCAGAATGTTGCTGCTGGTCCATTGTACCACTGGCTGACGTAGAGGCAATAGAATCAATTCCACTGGTATAAAAAGCAGGATAATCATACATATGATGAACCCCAAGTAATAGGCAATACATTGTAATAATTGGGAATGAATTGACTAGTTGCAAACCACTTGAGAGTTTGCAGTTTCTTGGTCTTGATTTTCCAACGGAACAATTTTTATATCATGCTCAGAAACAATAGTCTCTTGTTCAAGATGAAGGTCGAAAACACTTGGCTTCTTACGACTTTTTCTGTCATTGGAAGCAGATTCCAATCTCATAAAATACTTTTGAGCATGACTAGCAATTTGTGTTGGTGTTCTACTTGGCAATAAATCTTTACCAATCTTTGCCCACTTACCTTTCCCATGAATCTCCAATCCTTTCAATAATAATCTCTGTTCATCCTCTGTCCATGCAATTCCTTTCTTTATTTTTCTTCCATTATCTTTTTTCGTACTAGTACTGATCTTCACACCGAACAATTTGATGGTCTTGCTTTTCTCACTGCACGTTCTGTAGTTATGCCCATTGCGACCACACAACGTGCAATTCCTGCCCATTGCTAATTAATTAGCCTCAACAACACAACACTTGAGAAGAGGTTTCTTCCCTATAATAAAGAGAAAGATATATATGTAGTAGTAACTTTCCTTTTTATGCAATGTAAAACTTTATTACAACCGAGTGAAAAAGACACGGAAAGTAGTCTTTGATGGACTAAGGAAAATATTCCGAGTTATTTATGGGAATGAGGTCGAGGATCATGATTAATATTACCAACAACTTACCTTTTCTTTTTTCAAATCCTAACGCCATGTAATCAAATAAAACGCTGAAAAATAATATATTATTGGTTATAATTCTAAGACAATTTTTACTTAGTCAAATAATCAATTAACTTGCAATTAATTATGTTCCACTAGATATTAACATGATACGAATGTTTATTTGCCTGGACTGCGACGAAATTTTGCATTAGATATTCACCGCTAAATAAATAAATAGTTAAATACAAGACATTGTTAATTTTTAATTGTAAGAGGATGCTTGTATGCCTGTACTCTATATAATATGGTCCGAAAATTTGAGATACAAAAAAGATCGACAACACTATAGTCTTTTTCCTCAATTCAAAGAAATCTCTTTATATCCAATTGTTGATATATATATATATATATACACACACATTTTTCAGTATATATTAAATTGGACATCTGATCAAAATACACGAGAAAAACTCGATGACGTCGACAGGGTACTCCAAAGCATAATCATATATTCAATACTTATAAATTTGCATACTTTTTTTCCATAGAATCAAGAATTCTTTTGAAATCTGGAAATTTGTAGGAATTGTGGAGAGTAGAAATAAAGTTTGCAATAATTTATATATTATGTAAGGTGAGAGCTATCTAACCATCATATGAGAGTTCTCCGAGATTATATTTGTATCCACAAAAAAACTTACTCACATTCGATGTGTTTAATTACACCAAAACATTTTTTTAACCTATAGTTAGATGATAAAATTGAGGTCATAATGTGTAATAATTAATTATTATTAAGTGATAATAATCCATGTAAATTACATGTTTTAAATTCATGTAAAAATTGAGTGTGTATAAATTTTTTGCTCTATTTATACCCTATCTATTGCAGACCCACCTATGTCCTAAAAGACCGTCTTATTAATTTTCTTAGTGGACCTTATATTCCCTTTTTGTAAATTTCACCAAAAGATTAGCACCTCTGTATTATTCTTCCTATACTAGTGATAAATAACATATGGAAAATATAAATTCATTGTGTGAAAACTTGAATATAATCGAGGACAGAGAAAGATGAGCTCAATTCGAGCTCTAATGGCGGACTGTTAGAGAGAGAGAAGCAGTTACACGAAAATGAACCTTCTAGAAAGAAGGAGCATATTTTGTTTTATTTCTTCAACTTACAAAAAAAGAAATGAAAATACAGGGGTAGTGTATTTATAGTATCTGTACAATTGCTCAAAAATAATAAATAATCTCAACACCCCCCCTCAAGTTGGAAGGGAGGACCTCACATCCAACTTGCTAAGAAGTGCAGCATGTTTGATTCCTGTTAGCGACTTGGTCAAGAAATCAGCTAGCTGCTCATTAGTAGAGACATGATGGAGAGAAATGAGTCCTTCCTATAGTTGATCCCTCACAAAGTGGCAGTCTACCTCAATATGTTTTGTACGTTCATGGAACACAGGATTCTTTGCTATATGCAAGGCTGCTTGACTATCACAAAAGATGGGAATAGGTAAGGTCAATGGAGCAGTAAGTTCATTGAGAAGTCTTGCCAACCACACAAGTTCACCAACTACCATTCTGGCTGACCTATATTCAGCCTCTGCAGACGACAATGAAACAGTGGATTGCTTCTTAGATTTCCAGCTGATGGGGCTGTTGCCAAGCAGTACAATGTACCCACTGACTGATTTTCTTGATTGAGAGCAAGTGACCCAGTCTGAGTCACGAATGCCCTCACACTGTAATCTACAGTGTTGTTGAGGAAAATACCAGAGATGGAACACCTTTTAAGTATCTCAGGACATGATATGCTGCCTTTAAGTAAGGTTCCCTGGGGCTTTGCATGAACTGACTGAGGTGTTGTACACTATATGCAATATCCAATCTAGTGTTAGTGAGAAAGTTGAGTTTGCCAATCAGTTTCATGTAGTAGGAGGGATCAGCTAGTGGAGCTCCCTCATCAGCTTTCAGTTTCACTGAGGGATCCATAGGAGAGGTCATAGATGGACAGTCTATACAACCAAACTCTCTCAGAAGATCAACAGTAAATTTCCTTTGTGACATGAGGACCCCTTGTTCTGTATATTGAACTTCTAGTCCTAGGAAATAGTGGAGTCTTCCTAGGTCCTTTATCTTAAAAGTATCATGTAGGAAGGTTTTCAGGGACTCAATCTCATGCAGATGGGTACCAGTAACAAGGACATCATCTACATACACAGCTACAAACACTATTGACCCTTCACTCTTTTTATAGAATAGAGAATAATCAAGCATTGAATGGGTGTACCCCCTTGAGCACAAGGCTTCAGTTAATTTCTCATACCATTGCCTACTTGCTTGTTTAAGCCCATACAAGGACTTGTTCAATTTGCACACTAAGCCTGGTGAATCCACCACTAGACCTGGTGGTATCTCCATATATACCTCTTCATGGAGATCTCCATGAAGAAAAGCATTGTTCACATCTAATTGTAACACTTGCCACCCCTTTTTGACTGCTATTGCTATTAAGGTCCTAACAGTTGTCAGTTTTACTACAGGTGAGAAAGTTTCTGTGTAGTCTATCCCATCTTGTTGTGTATAGACTTTGACTACTAATCTAGCTTTGAATCTCTCCACACTCCCATCAGCCTTATGTTTAATCTTATATACCCATTTACACCCAATTGCCCTTTTTCCAGTTGGAAGAGGAACTAAATCCCAGGTTTTATTTCCATATAATGCTTGAAATTCTTGAGTCATTGCTGCTTGCCAAGCAGGCTTTACAGCATCTTCCTCATATGAGCTAGGTTCACATTCATGTAGACTAGTTCATATCAATTGCTGACAACTGGACTGTGTTTCATTAGCTTGATTTTCAGGAAGTTTGGGAGCAGATATGTTGAAAGAAAAAGACTGTGTGTTATGACTATCATTTGGGGAAGTTTGTTGGTTCTGATGTGCTTGTTGAAGTCTGGGAAGTGCACACTCATAGTCCTTAAGATAGGTAGGTGCTTTCAAGGTCCTAGATAGTCTGTTCTGATTTGGGATTGGAGCTCCTTGGTCCTGGATTGTAGCAGCAGGGCTGTGAGGTGTATCAGAGGAAGTGTTATTTGGAGATTCAGCATTTGGGAAGTTTCCTGATGTTTGGTTTCCTGAGGGTGAATGAGAGGGTCTGAAGTTTTCATTATAAGGATTGAATGTAGGTGAAGAAGGTTCATGCCTGGGCAGGTTCCTAGGAGACACTTCATGTTGAGTATGATCATTTTCAGGATGGGGAACACCGCCTACATTACTGGGAGAGAACAAGTCATCTGACAAGTATGGTTTCATTTGGGGAAATAAAGGAAAAACCTTGTTTGACTCAGTTGACAAAGCAAATGGGAATACATTCTCATGGAATACTACATCTCTTGAAATACTTATCTTCTTAGTGGCCAGATTAGTACCTTATACCCTTTTGTCCCAAAGGGATATCTCACAATAATATGGGGAGTAGCTCTTGGTTCAAACTTATCTTTGTGTGTTTTGAGGGTGGTAGGGAAGCATAAACAACCAAAGCTTCTGAGATGGGAATAATTTGGCTTTTTCTGATACGGAAGTTCAAAAGGACATTTTGATTTGAGTGATGAAGAGGGCAGTTTGTCTATCAGATATGTAGAGGTCAGAATACATTCTCCCCAATATTGCATGGGCAACTTGGATTGGTAGAGTAGGGCCCTGGCTGTTTCTAACAAATATTTATATTTTCTTTCCACTACACCATTTTGTTGTGGTGTGTATGGACAGGTTCTTTGATGTATAATTCCCTTTGATTGTAAGAATAAAGTGGTCTCTTGATTATTGAACTCAAGGCCATTGTCTGTTCTTATAGTTTTGACACTAGTATTGAATTGCTGCTCTACCATGGCAAAGAAGGCCTTAATGGTGTGTATAGCATTGCTCTTACAACTTAACAAGTGGGTCCATGTGGACCTGCTGTAGTCATCCACAAGGGTGATAAAATATTTGTATTTGTTGTGTGTTAGAATATGGTATGGGCCCCATAAGTCAATGTGTAGTAGTTCAAAAGGTTTATTAGTTAATGTTGTTCTTTCTGGAAAAGACAATCTGGTTTGCCTTGCCATTGGACATATAGGACAAAGAAAGGGCTGTTTAGGTGCAAAGGTAACAGGTATAGAAGGAATCCCTTTCATTTTGACAAAAGGTATATGTCCTAATCTGTTATGCCACAAAAGATCAAGTAAAGATTCTGTAGTAGATGTATTATCATACAAGAAAGACTCACTTTTATTTTTGGAACTGTTTACAGTTGAACTAGTTGTACTACTACTGTAAGGTGGGATAGCCATGGTGGAATTAACAGGAGCAATAGGAACTACCTTATTAGTACTGACTAGTTGAGTAGAAGGAAGTGAACTAGATGTTTTAGTTACAGAATCTATGTTACTCTCATTATTAGTAACACATGGAAAGGAAGCACTAGAAGGATTAGAGAGAGTTGAACCAGTAATGCAGTTTCTTGAACTGTGAAGATATAGACCAGTCTTGGCTTTACCAATCTCCGGTGGCCTCTTCGGTGAAGGGCCCTGTAGAAGAATACAGATGTACTTGGTGAATACTATAATACAATCAAGTTGAACAGTCAATGAGTGGACTGATATCAGATTGAACTTAAAACTGGGGACAAAAAGGACATTTTTGAGAATGAATTTTGGGCTTAGAATTACATCACCAATCAGTGTCACCTTGACCTTGTAACCATTTGGTAGTGTGACTAAGTATGGATATACTAAGGTTTTAAC